GAGATTTGGTACAAGTGTTGAAAACAGGAGCAACAAGAGAGAGGAATTTTGGGTGAGGGCATCGCATGGGGGGTAATTGGGCCAACTCTGGGTGGGCAGTATGGGCATGGTGACAGGAGATGGATGTAAGAGCAGATGGAGAGCCAGTGGCTGGGTCTAAGTGCTGGAGTGTCATCTCCCTCAAAGCCGCACATTGATACACTGCACCATGTGAAAGAAACCTAAAATATCACTGAAACTCTTAGAGGTTTTGAACAATACTCTTCAGACATGTTGCTTTCACAAATTAAAGCCAGACAGATAAATGAACCATAATTAATCTGATTAGGGTTACTGCAGTGGTAGGAATCACTGACTGCTACAGTAAGCACTTTTTTCCCCTCTCCAGAAAGAAATCCCTTTGTGCACCTGCTTTTAACACCACCATGCTAGATAGCAAATCCAAACATAATTCAATTACAGTCAGGAGAGATTTCATCCACTCAGTGAAATGCAATGAATAAACACAAAATCATTCTCATTATGTCCTCTCTACAGGGATATTTAAGGCTTCTTCTCCCATAGTAAATCAGTTTTATGTAGTCGGTGTCCTTGAAAGCACCACTCTGCAAGCCTGTGTTCACAGAACTCCACTTCTTCTCAAGTTCTCATAACTTTGGGTAACACACAGATCACAGAGGTGGGGATGAGAAATCAGCATTTCTCCTCCTAGCTCACTCTATGAGCTTAATGCAAGTGCTGCCCTACTGTGCCTCAGTTTCCCTCTTTGCAGCATGCGAGTGGTATTTCTGAGACTATGACATAGGGGCAGGAAATCCTCATTCACATCACATCTGTGAAGTCAGAGATGAAAGATGAGATGCTCCCAACTTAAATTCCCAGAAACAGCAGATGTCAAAGAGGAGGGGAAGTATGAAACCAAGAGCTGCTCTGACAAACACATACGTTGAGGTGCAGCTAACAGCAAAACCCAGCTTTCCCTTGCAACAGCAAAACCCAGCTTTCCCTTGCAAAGAAACAAGATGTTGCCTCTCATCTGAGCCCATTTGCTGCTGATCAGCTTTGGGCTCCCTCCACTGCTTCTGATTTGTTGAACACTGACTGCTACAGGGACACACGCGCTGGCTGTGCATTCTCTTTTTGGTCTCTGTGGGCACCATCTGGCTCTGCCCCTTTCTGTTATAAATACTATTTTGATCTATATGAGAGTCCGTGAAAATCCATGAATCCTGGAGTATCGCCCTTCATAGAATCACAGAATCACCAAGGTTGGAAAAGACCTCTAAGATCATCCAACCGTCCAATGTTTCCCACTAAATCATGTCCTTCAGCTCAACACATAAACATTCCTTCAACACAGAATCACAGAATGGCCAGGGTTGGAAGAGACCTCAAGGATCACGAAGCTCCAACTCCCTGCCACACGCAGAGCCACCAACCTCCACATTTAATACCAGACCAGGCTGCCCAGGGCCATCCGATCTGACACCTCCAGGGATGGACGGGGCATCCACAGCCTCTCTGGGCAGCCTGTTTACACATTCACCACCATCAACACTGCGGCTCTTTAACCACCAACTGCTGCACAAAAGGGGTGTGAACAGAAGATGGGTTTTCCATCAAGTAGGCAGGAGAACAAAAACTCAACAAACGCTCAGGAGAAAGCCAACGTGCTGATTTTGTGACAGCACAGATCTTTCAGCCTCCCAGCCCTGCACAAAACCCACACTGTTCAAGCATCGCATGGGAAATCAACATATTTCTCACGACAAAACTTCAAAGGGGCCGATAACATCTCTCACGTTGGGACACAAATCTCATCATCCCAGGGAGCCTTGTTGCCTTTTGTACCTCTTACAGGGCACGGCACAGTGCTGGACGTGGGTGTCCTGGGGACTGTCCAGCACAATTCACTGTTATCAGAACGGGTTGCAATGATGGAACATGGTATGCTTACTAAAAGTGCGGCTGATACCAGGCTGGGACGGGCTGCAAGTACTTCGGAAGCCAGGATTAGGATTCAAAATGGTCTTGGTAAGGAGTAGAAATGGTCTGGAAAAAAAAATAAAGAGAAAAAAGAAAAAAGACAATTCAGGAATGACGGGTGAACAGTACCAAAGGCAGGAATAATCAATGACAAGTCACAGGGGAAATAACTAGCAACCTGCAAGGATCTTTATTATTTTATCTATTTATTTATTTATAGGAGAAGGATCTCAGGATTCCAGAACCAGAGTTGGATGCTATTGGGTTGCTGCTGTATGAGCAAGCATCCCTCTGCCATGCACAGAGAGGGATACTGCTCACCATATACACAGAGGGAAGCACTGTGGAAGTCCTGATACCAGACACTGCATCTCAATAGAACTGTAATGAAAGTCCCAACGTGGACAGCAAGAATGATGGGAGGCCACGAAAGCACAGACTGAGAGTGGTGCAATCTGAAAAAGACTCTTGGGAAATATTACAGTGTGCTCAACAGAGGTCTTGCTCGAATATCCACAAATGCCTCGCTTGTGGCTGTACGCAATAGGATATCACACTACTCACATCTTTGAACAAACCTGCCTTCCCACACAGCATGTAAAATACTTGCTCACAGGTGAAAGACTGCCACATGAGTGCCAAAAGCCCTAATTACTCCTAAGGAGGAGTAACCTGCACAGAATGAGATGGGGCTGGAGGGAGGGGTTGGGCTGTGGATGCAAGCACTTCTAGCAGTTGTTCTGTACCTCCCCCAACCTGACAGGTTGCTCACCTGCAAGGGGCTTGCATCGTCCCACTGCCGTGTTGCTCCTCTACCACTCAGGCATTCTTAGTTAAAAAGAATCACCAAAATGACATGGGAATAACAAATGGCCTTGTGCCTTGCTGATGCATAAACACTTAAACAGGTCTGTGACAAGCTGAGGCTTCAGCTTCTATCCCAGTTTAGCTGGGGAGCATCCTATGAAACAGGCAAGTTTTCACTGAAAAAACGCATCAATCTGAACTGGGAGGCATCTGCCCCATCTGGGTTGTGAACACAGAATATCAGATTAAAAGGAAAAAGGGAAAAAATGCAGCAGTCCAGACACTTGAGATAAAGTAGCTTTTATCACCCTCTCTAACGAGGCCACGTGCTTTCTATCTCCAGGCAATGACATTGTGCAAGCAGTTTGAACGCAAATTAAAAATTCATATCCCCTGCTGTGGCAGGGGAGGGTCAGGGCTCTGGTGCCCTTTCCCTGTTTCTGGAAGATGGTGGCACTGCCATCAGTGCTGGGAGGTCAGTGCTCCAGCTGCCCCACGGCAGGTGCCTTTATGCAGGGAAGGGCCTTGCTTTTGTGTTAAATAAATGCTTGCAAAACCTATGGGGGGGGAAAAAAAAAAAAAGCCTGCAAATATGAAAAAAAAAATCTCTATTTGAGGTTGAAAGCGACTTTGTAAATCGCACAACTGCTCCAGAGATGTCTGCACACCTCCTTTGCAATGGCTCGCAGCCATCACCGATCACTGAGCGCTGCGTTCTGACAGAGCTGTAGCTCTGCGTCGCTGCTGGTGGGACAACTCATCTCCCAGCAGTGCTGCATCCCGAGCAGACACACAGGTCACGATGCTGCCCATTAAATAAGAAACTGAAAGCACCTTGGGTCTCTGTGCAGCAGCACTGAACAAGAAGTAGCGATGCTCTGCTTCTCGGAGGTGATGCAGCCCTGAGTTGGTGGATTGCTGTCGCTGCTATTCCTCTGCTAAGAGGAAAAAATATTTAAAAAATCCACCATTTCTGTGCTGGTTCACCCAGCTGACAGGAAAGAGCTGGAAAGAACCATTGCTTCTGAGCTTAATTACATCCGATGCTTCTGAGGGCGAGGGAAAAGAGTACTTCATGAGCCAAAACCAAAATGTTAATATATTATACTGCAGCAAGAACACAGCAACTTCAAAGCTTCTCCTCCCTACACCCTGAAGTGTGAAATCTGAGATTTTTCCCCCCAGTAATGCTTTTTGCTCATTTCCTGCCTGGCTCCATACTCTTCTAACAATGAATCAGGGCTAATTAACATCAGTGTCAAGATTAAGATCATGTCTAACGAGGACTTTCTTGTCATCTTGTAGGGAATTAAACTAATGATGGGCTGACCACACTGCTGACTTGGGCTAACAGCCCCCACCCGTGGGGAGGTGGTGATCCCAGGAGGAACCAGTTTGCCCCTGAGCACAAATCCTTGCTTTGGGGAAATGCAGACCATCTCCCAAACTTGGTTCTTTGCCTTCCACACACATTTATAAATCCATCCTCACCATTTATTTTCACATTCCTAGGGGAGGAGCAAAAAGTCATACAACAATCTGAAGCTATGGTCTGAGGTAAGTGAGATACACTTCTAGCAAAAGATCCTGCAAGCCACCAGCAAGGAGAAATAAATTAAAAATAATCCAGCAACACATGGAGTTCAGAAATCAGTGATAAGCAGCTGAGAAGAAACTTTCTCTGGATTCCACTCCAAATATAAACCTCTGGCCTTACTACGTTCCTGGTTCCTATAAGGCCATAGAATAACATAATCACTGAATGCTTGGGTTGAAAGGGACCTTAAGGGTCATAGAACCATGGAATGCTTGGGATGGAAGGGACCTTAAAGATCACATAAGCATGGAATGGCTGGGTTGGAAGGGACTCAAAGGTCATGGAACCATGGAATGGTTGGGTTGCAAGGGACTTAAAGGTCACGGAACCATGGAATGGTTGGGTTGGAAAGGAGCATAAAGGTCATAGAACCATGGAATGGTTGGGTTGGAAAGGAGCATAAAGGTCATAGAACCATGGAATGGTTGGGTTGGAAGGGAGCATAAAGGTCATAGAACCATGGAATGGTTGGTTTGGAAGGGACTTAAAGGTCATAGAACCATGGAATGGCTGGGTTGGAAGGGAGCATAAAGGTCATAGAACCATGGAATGGTTGGGTTGGAAGGGACCATAAAGGTCATAGAACCATGGAATGGTTGGGTTGGAAGTGACTTAAAGGTCATGGAACCATGGAATGGTTGGGTTGGAAAGGACTTAAAGGTCATGGAACCATGGAATGGTTGGGTTGGAAGGGACTTAAAGGTCATAGAAACATGGAATGGCTGGGTTGGAAGGGAGCATAAAGGTCATAGAACCATGGAATGGTTGGGTTGGAAGGGACTTAAAGGTCATAGAATCATGGAATGGTTGGGTTGGAAGGGACTTAAAGGTCATAGAACCATGGAATGGTTGGGTTGGAAAGGAGCATAAAGGTCATAGAACCATGGAATGGTTGGGTTGGAAGGGAGCATAAAGGTCATGGAACCATGGAATGGCTGGGTTTGGAAGGGGCTTAAAGGTCATAGAACCATGGAATGGTTGGGTTGCAAGGGAGCATAAAGGTCACAGAACCATGGAATGGCTGGGTTGGAAGTGACTTAAAGGTCATGGAACCATGGAATGGTTGGGTTGGAAGGGACTTAAAGGTCATAGAACCATGGAATGGTTGGGTTGGAAGGGACTTAAAGGTCATAGAACCATGTAATGGTTGGGTTGGAAGTGACTTAAAGGTCATGGAACCATGGAATGGTTGGGTTGGAAAGGACTTAAAGGTCATGGAACCATGGAATGGTTGGGTTGGAAGTGACTTAAAGGTCATGGAACCATGGAATGGTTGGGTTGGAAGGAAGCATAAAGGTCATGGAACCATGGAATGGTTGAGTTGGAAAGGACTTAAAGGTCATAGAACCATGGAATGGTTGGGTTGGAAGGGAGCATAAAGGTCATGGAACCATGGAATGGTTGGTTTGGAAGGGAGCATAAAGGTCATGGAACCATGGAATGGTTGGGTTGGAAGGGACTTAAAGGTCATAAAACCATGGAATGGCTGGGTTGGAAGGGAGCATAACGGTCATGGAACCATGGAATGGTTGGGTTGGAAGGGACTTAAAGGTCATAGAACCATGGAATGGTTGGGTTGGAAGGGACTTAAAGATCATAGAACCATGGAATGGTTGGGTTGGAAGGGAGCATAAAGGTCATGGAACCATGGAATGGTTGGGTTGGAAGGGAGCATAAAGGTCATAGAACCATGGAATGGTTGGGTTGGAAGGGACTTAAAGGTCATAGAACCATGGAATGGTTGGGTTGGAAGGGAGCATAAAGGTCATAGAACCATGGAATGGTTGGGTTGCAAGGGAGCATAAAGGTCATGGAACCATGGAACGGTTGGGTTGGAAGGGGCTTAAAGGTCATAGAACCATGAATGGCTGGGTTGGAAGGGACTTAAAGGTCATAGAACCATGAATGGCTGGGTTGGAAGGGACTGACTTGATTCAGATCACTCATCGACTGAACTATGAACTTTCTGGTAGACCGCATGACCAAGATAACTAGGAGGAATTTTCTTCCTCATCCACTGTTTACTGGTGTCCATATCAAGTGTGTTCATGGAGAAGGTGCTGTGAAAGGGCTTGATACACTCTCTAGAGGAGACACAGACAGCTCAGACTTCTGCAGCTAGTGCTGCTATGGCCATGGCTTCACTTGAAGACCCATGGGAAATCATCAGCCCACCCTCTTTGCTCAGGTTTTGTGTAACACATAAAATGCAATGTTCTCAAAATAAATCTTTTGCTGTCAAGCATGATATAGTGTCTACAGAAGTTCCTCCAGCTATTCATCCTTCACTCAGCTCTATGAACAACAAGAAAATGATTCATGTGGCATATCTCTGGTGCTTGTTGGTTTTATTTTATGGTATGGGGTTTTAGAAGTTTTTCAAGGCATTAAAAAGCATGACCATTGCCTTCACCATAAAAGATGAACAAAGAAGCAAAGAGAGGCATGTGCATGCACTTTTTGACACTTTTGCAGAGCAAAAGCATTCTGCTGAACCAAAGGAAATGAGGTGAGACTATGAACTGAGATTGAACCAGCAGTTCACGGGACTTGAGACAAAAAACAGTGATAGGAAAGAGGGTAAAAACTAAAACATTCTCCTTGCAGAACTTTGGTCTGCATCACAAGTAGTTATTGCAAGAAAAAACAATATGATGGCCAAACTCATGTCCTAGGATCACTGGGCTAAAAGACCCTTGCCTAATTTTGGTCAAGAAAAACACATCCGTGCATTGTACGTGCTGAAATGCCACAGTAGGTTCACCTCACTGGTCAAGAAGCTCCCACATATGTGCAATTGCTGCATGCCACTGCTCACATTCTTTAACCTTCCCATCTGAAGGACAACACAAAAGCATAACCCCCAGCACAGCACTCAGGGCTGATATGCATTTTTCTCTTCCACTCCTCATGTCACAGAGCCTATTTGTAGGGAGCACAGCCAGGCTGGTTAGCTGATTGTTGCTGGTTTTTTTTTTTTTTAATTTTCCTTATGACAGAGAAAAAAGTAACAATTTTCTTCTGTGCACAGAAGTTCTGCTGTACTTTGCTGGATGACACACCAAAGAACCACAACTGCACAACCCAGAGGAGACAAACGGCTGATGTAAACGGAAAACAGTGCAGCAAAAGGAAGTCTTTCTGTAAGGCAATTACTTTGTTCTTTCAGGGGCATTTTTTTTTTTTTGGGGTGTCTTCTTTCCATAGAAAGTTTCCACTACTGTTATTTAAATGAAACTCGCAATTATTTTTGGCCTCAAACCTATCTGTTTGCATAGCAGGAGCTCCGATAAAAGATAGAGAAACAACACAGAACTGTGCACAGTTCCAGGTTCCCAGGTCAGAAACCTAGAGAAAACAGGAGGAATTCCCAAAAACCATCAGTGAGTCATTTTCTTAAACCTGGAAAAGAGCTCAGTGCCTCATATAGCAGAGCCACTGGAGATGCTTTAGGGGAAGACACAGCTGCAAGAATGTGAGAAGTGCAAAGGTCCCTGCACAGGCACACAGGCCTTCATGGGACGGGACAAAGCCAAGCAAGGGTAGAAATGAATAAATAGTGGGAAAACTCTGCACCAAGAGTCATCCCATCACCTGGAATCACTCAAGGCTGGACGAAGCTCCCTGCACTGCTGGGTTGGAAATGCTGCTGATCTCCACCACCATCTCCACTGTGGGCTCCAGTAGACTCAGGCATAGAGAAAACTACCACCCAAAGGGAGCACAGCATGGGGCAGAGCTTCAGATCTGGTAATCACTCCAAGTGATTTGGGGCTGTTGCTTGTCCCTTTGAGTGCAGGTGGCTGCATATGAAAGCAGCTTTTGCTTCCTGGCGCTGCATGGCAATGCACTGACAGCCTGCAAAGCACAGCCTCGCTGTACAAGCCTTGCAATCCACTTTGCAGCCGCCTAAAGGGGTTAAATAACACAGAGAGCACGGGTTTCTGGTGGAAAAATGACTCACAGGAAGGATGGCAACAATGCACTGCTATGAAATATTAAACATAATAGGTCTCACAGCCCCGGAATGAGAGAATAAGAAACAAGGTAAGTGGACCTGTGTCTTTCTCCCAGTTCTCAAAGTCACTAATGGCCCTCTGGGTTTCTGAACAGATGTACTGCAGGTACCACATTTTATTCACTGCAAATTATTGCCTGGCATTTAATTAAAATTTTATTGTAGCGATTCCCATCAGCTCTCTCCACAGCACCAAATGGACTGAAGAGAAAAGTGGTTCTTTGGAGTTGACGAGCCCAGTTCATCAATAAAATGCCATAGATTTGAAAGAGGGGGGGCAAAAAAAGTGTGTGGTGAGAGGTTTGGTTAATGTAAGGCTTTTCCCTGCATGGGAGCCCCGTGGGGCCTTTCCTGGCACCAATCAGAACCAGCTGAAGACCAGCCATGGGTCATGCTGTTTGGTTTGGCTCATTGGGGTAATGCAGGATCCCTTTAGGAAAGAAGGATGAAGAGTTCCTATAGATGGAACGGATGAAGAAAATCTATCCCATGAGAGTATGGACACAGTGATGCTCAATCTATGAGCCAAGCAACACAGCCAAGGAAGGAAACATCCACAAAGCTGATGCTCCATAGCATCAGACTATCTGGTTTGGGACACTATCCCAGAAATCTTACTGTCCCACCAGCAGTTGAGGTCATTCTTGATCCTTCAAAGGAGTGGTAAAGAGGCCAAAACCAAGACCAAACATTCTTAGCTGCCCAAGCAATTAGAAAAAAAAACTGCACTCCTGGCACCTGCAAACATCTGCTGGAAGCTCGGAAGCAGCAAAAGCAGTTTCCATGCCAAACTGTGAGGGATCGGGGACTGCTAAGAAAATCAGAGGCAACTCCTCTCTGTCCACAGCCACCATGAAATGGAGGAGAAAAGAGACTTACAGCATCCAGCACCGAGGCCAGGATGGATTAACAGCATCACTTGCCCTACAGCTCACAGCACTGGGAGAAACTCAGCTCTTTGGGCTTAAAACAAAGAAGCTCTGATGGCAGCACCTCTCTGGAGTCTGAGGGGTTAACGTGCAGCACAGCTCTGCTCCAACCAAAGCTGCAAACCCCCCTCCAGAAGTATCTGGTGATGCTTTTCCCCCCCACAACGACTACTCTGGGAAGGCAGGGGAGACAGAAGGAGAATGATGGATGCAAAAATTAAAAGCTCAATTAATAATTAATTGATGAGGTCATCAAATTGGATGGATCTGTCCATTTTGCTTTCTCTGCTCTCCTGTTAAGCGGACCAATGGTGGGTGAAGTGCTCCTGGAAGGACCATCATTCCTGCACACCGCTGCATGACGCTGCCCTGGGTGCCATATAATCAATAGTAATAAATCTCTGCTGACTGCCATAAAGACTTCACGAGCGTTAAGCAAACAGAATGCCTCCAGAGATCCCAAAATAAAGTGAGAGGAGGGTTTGAGTAACTTATTAAGGTAATCATTAAAATGCATGCTTGTAAAACATCAAATATGCATAGCACAGACAAAACCTCCTTTCCTCTTTCCGGTATCAGCCCCTCCACAAACAAGAGTGAAAAAGAACACTCTTAAACACCACCAATAAAACACAGCACAGGAGAGCTAGCAAGCCCTGTTGCCTGCCCACCGCAACCCTTTCTCTTCCCCCTGTATATGCACATTTCCTCTGAGTTTTGCTTTCAATGATAAGCTCCCTGCAGCTGTGAAAACGGGGCCAGTTTTTCTGATGTGTGCAATTTCTGGCATGATTTTGTTTGTGAATACGTCGTAAATGAGAATGACCAGGAGTGCTCAGACTAGAAGAGGTTTGTCCCGTGGTCGATGTATTTATTGCAAGGCTTGCAGCATCCTCCAGAGGTGGGCTGCTGAAGCAGGTGACCTCATGGTGTGTTCCATGCAGCAGTGGCATAATCCAGACTCTAAACCGGGTCAGAAGGATAACAGCCCACTGGTATGTGAAAACAGAGGAGAAGTATGATCTGATCCCCAAATCCTGACCCTGGGAACAGGCTGGAGGTGGCTCAATGCCACCAGCACTGGGTCCATTCCAGCCCCTGAGTAAAGGGAGCCCTTATGAAACCCGTATCACAGCCACTTGCTTAATGCATTTCTCCCTAGAAGTACTTACAGAGTTTCCTTGAAGAACCCCCAAGCATAACAGTTTCCACAGCGATTACAGAAAAAGCAGCAGTGCCAGAAATAACACTGGTAAATGGAAAACATCCCCTGCACTCCTCTCGCACACGCACACACCCATGGAGCACGGCGAGACGATTCCTCGTGGCGGCCGATGCCGCCCTGGGCAAATGTAAACAGAAGGGAATGGACTCAAAATATCACTTTCTGATGGCACACCGAGTGCCCTCACACATGCAACAACGTGCCCCTGAGTTGCAGTATCACCAGTGACCACACTCTGCACGGAATCCACCACCATATTCATCGCTTCCCAGCTACGACATTGAAAATACTCTGCCTAAATGGCCATTTTGGATGCCACGCAAAGCAGTGAATACCAGAGCTTATCTAAACTCTCTGTTGTCGGCACTCACACTCCTTCATGCTCTGCCCTCTGCCCTTTCAGAGAGAAGGGAAGGGAAGAGGGAAGAGGGAAGGTGAACAGCATTCAGCTTTAATTCTCTGCGATGTGTTCTGTGCTTGAGACACATCCACAGTCAGAAGCTCCCAGGACAAACTCAACCCAGCAAGTCTCATCTCAGATAGGCAGGAATGGGACTTAAGGATTTCTGTTACTTCATGTACTTGATTGCCTTCATTTCTGCCTTTACACCTGTTTACTTAGTAAAATTCAAATGCTGCTTTAA